TGAATAGAAAGCCAAAGTACAACACTACAGATAAAAGTGAGGTTCGGCCGTGGGACTTTACACATGATACAGGGAGGGCTGCAGCTTGGCAGACGTTTCCAAAGGGGGGGGGAAAAAAAGAAAATATTGCTAAATATAGAAATGTTAAGGACGGAGGTAGCACAAGGCGGTTAAAGAGCACAATTACACAAGGGCGTGCCTTAAATCTTATCTTTCGGGAAGAGGAGCAGACTTTGTTGGTGGACATTCAATTTTTTTTTTTGTCCCTAGGGATAAACTGAAACTGTTTGGGCTGAAGTGCTTAGAGTCAGAGATAGAGGGATAGAATCAAGATCAGGTGAAGTGTTAATGCCGCTTTATAAGTCCTTGGTAAGGTCCACACTTGGAATCTGGTATCCAGTTTTGGTCACCAGAATATAAAAAAGATGTTGAGACTCTAGAACAGAGGTGTCAAACTTGATTTCATCAGGATTTTGTTTCACCTTGGGGGGCCGGGGCGGAGGCAGCTTGACGTCACTCAGGTCGGGGGGCCCTGTGGTGACCTGAGCCCTCTGCCAGCAAAAATGGGCCCCCGAGCTCCATTTTTGGCTGCGACGGCCTCCTGCAACTCTCTGCCAGTGGAAACAAAGCTCAGGAGGGCCGCACGTGAACTCCATTTTTGCTGGCAGAGGCACTGTGGGCTGATCCTTTGCTGTTTCCAGGGTGGCCCCACGGGCCAGACCTAGGCACCCCGTGGGCCGGATGTGGCCCCTGGGCCTTGGGATTGACAGCCCTGCTCTAGAAAGAGTGCACAGAAGGGCAACAAAGATGATTAAGGGAATGGTTGCTGGAACTGGGTATATCTAGTTTGATGAAAAGAAGAACCGGGGTGACATTATAGCTCAATATCTCAGGGGCTGCCCCAAAGAAGAGGGAGTCAAGCTATTCTCCAAAGCACCTGAGGGCAGGACAAGAAGCAATGGATGGAAACCAACCAAGGAGTAACCTGGAACTAAGAAGACATTTCCTGACAATCAGAACAATTAACCAGTGGAACAACTTGCCTCCAGAAGCTGGAGGCTTTCAAAAAGGGATTGGACAGCCATTTGTCTGAAATGGTCTAGGGAAGTGATGCTAACTTTTTCGGCATTGAGTGCCCAAAGCATGTGCATGCGTGTGCATCCCCAAAATGCAATGTGCGCATGTTCCCTGTACATGTGCCCCCCCCCTGTAGATGCGCAGCAGAGACCCAAGGACCAGCAGGCCGGCGGGAGCTGTGCGTGCATGCACAGTGGAGCTGAGCTGAGGTGACGGCTCACATGCCCACAGAGAGGGCTCTGCGTGCCACCTTTGGCACACGTGCCATAGACTGGCCATCACGGCTCTAGGGTTTGAGCAGGGGGTTGGACTAGAAGACCTCCAAGGCCCCTTCCAACCTCTGTTATTCTGTTACAGTGTTTATAAAACGACTCGCTCACAAAACAAAACCATCTTCACTTCAATTACTGAATGCTGTTGCTCAAAGGGGATTCGGAGGCCCATGGAAAGTTTGCTGAAGACGCTGCTGAAATTCAATGATTTAAGACAGCGAACCTTAAAATGTACAAAGTTTTCCTCAACTTACAATCATTCGTTTAGCGATTATTCAAAGTTAGAACAGCACTGAAAAAAAAGTGAGTAGTCTTGGCACTTACAACCAATGCAGTACCCCCATGATCATGTGATCAAAATTTGGGTTTTTGCCAACCCGGCATGTATCTATGACAGTTGTAGTGACCCAGGGTCACATGATCACCATTTGCGACCTTCCCAGCTGGCTTCTGACAAAGTCGATGGTGGAAGCTGGATTTGTTTAATAACTGACTCACTTAATAACTGCGACAATTAGCTTAACAACCGTGGCAAGAAAATATTGTAAAATCGGGCATGACTCACTTAAGGACTGCCTTGCTTAGCAATGGAAATTTTGGTCCCAACTGTAATCATAAGCAATTTCTTAGAACTTATCCCAAAGGTACTTTTTAAAAGACAACTAGACTTTTTTTCCCCCTTGAAAATGTTTCGCTTCTCACCCAAGAAGTGTCTTCAGTTCCGAAGAAGCAGACAACTGAAGCTTCTTGGATGAGAAGCGAAACATTTTTGAGGGGGAAAAAGAAAAAGAAAAACCCAAGAAAGTCTTGTTGCCTTTAGAGAAGAACCTTTATGGCAACCATGACCTGGATAATAGGGAATTTCCACTGGCATTCTCACAACTTACTACATTAGCAGTACACACAGCTGAGGTTCAAAAAACATTTTCCTCTCTGAAGAAAGCAATCAGCTCAAGAGTTTCCCTTAAAATATATAGTCACAACAGAGAACAGGATAGGGCTACCTAGGTCAATTCTCCACCTAATCTACTCTGTGAATGGGAGAAAGCCCCAGAATTCTTCACAAGTGGCAAAGGTTCTCCTAAGGGCAGGATTGGCTGGGGAAAGGGGTGGGGGGCAGAGGGCACAAGAACCCACTTCCTTTACTTGAGTAACCCTTGATAAGGCAAACTATCCGGCTGTTTTATTTTGTTCCCCTTTAAGAGTTCATGGCTGCCCAGAGTTACTGAAACAGCCAATCTTGCTCGGTACTTTAGCGACACTTAATGTTCATTTGCAGAAATGACAGCCGTAGGGGGGGGAAAAATATTTTAAAAAGAGGGAAACTCATGTTACCCATATGGAGACTGTCTTACAGGTAATCCTCGAGTTACGACCACAATTGAGCCCAAAATTTCTGTTGTTAAGTGAGACATTTGTTAAGCGAGTTTTGACCCATTTAACGACCTTCCTTGCCACAGTTGTTAAGTGAATTGCTGCAGTTGCAAAGTTAGTAACACGGTTGTTAAGTGAATCTGGCTTCCCCCATTGATTTTGCTTGTCAGAAGGTCTCAAAAGGGGGTCATGTGACTCCAGGATGCTGCAACCGTCATAAACAGGAGTTACTTGCCAAGTGTCTGAAGTTTGATCATGTGACCATGGGGTGCTGCAAAGATTGTAACTTTGAAAAATGGTCATTCTCTTTTTTTGGTCAGTCTCTTTTTTTCAGTGCCATTGTAACTTTGAACAGTCACTTAATGAACTGCTGTAAGTCAAGGACTAAACAGATACAGGTAATCCTCAACTTACAACGATTCATTTAGCTACCATTTGAAATCACAGCAGCACTGAAAAAAGTGACTCACAAAAGGTCCTCACACTAACCACCAGTCCTCACGCTGAAAAACGTTGCAGCATCCCCAAAGTCACATGATCAAAATTTGGGCGCTTAGCAACTGGCCTGCGTTTATGATGGTTGCAGCATCCTGGGATCACACGATCTTCATTTGCAACTTTCCCAGTTGGTTTCTGACAAGCAAAGTCAATGGGGAAAGCCAGTTTCATTTAACAACCACATGATTCACTTAACAACTGCAGTGATTCATTTAACAACCATCAGAAAAAGGGTTGCAAAATCAGGTGTGACTCACCTAGCAATTGCCTTGCTTAGAAACAGCAATAGTAGAAATAAGTAAAATAAAATAATAAAATGAATTGAAATAAAATTATTTATAAAATAAATAAAATAATAAAATAATGTAAAGTAAAATAGTCAATCTAATCCAGCTCTTTCTGAATGTCAGGGTCTTGTCCCACACAAAATTGCTTTATGCCAGGATAGAAAATTATCAGCATCTGTTATGCAAGTAGGATGAGGTTCTGAATCACACTTGAATTGGGGAAATCCGAGGTTATGAATCAGGCTTGAACTGGGGAAATTCTCCTAAATTCTCAGACTTAAAAATAAGCCAGGAAAATTGTTTTTATACCAGATCCATTTAGATATCTACCACATCCTGCATTAATTGGCAATAGTTCTCCAGGATCCCAAGATGGCAACCTGCCCGCTCCCTTTAAATTCTTGTTACAATTCTTTTAACTAAAGATGTTTATGATCCAAGCTGGGTTTTTTTGCACAAAATGTATCCTTTTGCCATTCGGAGGAGCAGAAAACATCTCCAGGGCTACCGCTTCTTTCATTCATCAGAAAAGACGCAGGGAAAAAAAGGTAGCTTTTTAACTTTCACATCAGAGGAGAGAGTTTATGCTCCCTCACTGAACCCAAGGTGCTTTTTTTCAAAAGGCAACTAGACTTTGTTTTTCCTTGAAGATGTTTCGCTTCTTATCCAAGAAGCTTCTTCAGTTCTGGCTGAATGGTGGAGAATGGAAGGATTTATATTGCTTGCAGTCATCTGGTCATTAGCGCTCTCTCTCTGAGTTGTTGAGGTCAGAACTGAACTTCTTGGATGAGAAGCGAAACGTCTTCGAGGAAAAACAAAGAAACTCCAATTGCCTTTTGAAAAAGCACTTTTGGGACAACCATAACCTGGATGACTGAGAGTCTCCAGAGACATTTCCCTCACTCCAACAAGTTGCTGGAATTGGGTATGTCTTGTCTGATGAAGAGAAGGACCAGGGGTGACATGATAGCAGTGTTCCGATATCTCAGGGGCTGCCCCAAAGAAGAGGGAGTCAAGCTATTCTACAAAGCACTGGAAGGCCAGGACAAGAAGCAATGGGTGGAAACCAATCAAGGAGAGAACCAACCTGGAACTAAGGAGACATTTCCTGACAGTGAGAACAATTAACCAGTGGAATAAATTGCCTCCAGAAGTTGTGAATGCTCCAACACTGCAAGTTTTCAAGAAGAGATTGGACAACCATTTGTCTGAAATGGTGTAGGGTCTCCTGCCCAAGCAGGGGGTTAGACTAGAAAACCTCCAAGGTCCCTTCCAACTCTGTTATTCTGTTCCAGGGATGTCAAACTCACATCGTCACGGTGGCACCACAGGATGTATCGGGACTTTTTTCCCCTTCACTAAACCAGGCGTGAAGGTGGCATCCAGCCCGCAGGCCGGGAATGGCAGCCTTGTTCTATTCTATTCTATTCACTGAAATTCTGCTTACTGTCTACTAACCTTTCCCTTTTCTTCTCAGCTACGAGATACTTACAGGTATGCTCCATATCTGTATCCCATCACTGTAGCCAATCATGAGCAGAAGAGGAGGTTCGTTCCCAGTACTGTGCATCTCATGTAGCTCCACATTCCTTAACATATCTAAAAAAAAAAGAAAATCAGAAAAAAGGAATCAAAGACAGAAGCACCAGACAAGGACAATGCTCCCATAGAGTCCAAAGAGTTGCTTTGGATAGCGGGACCGGTGGCGTATAAATAAAACAAACTGAAACAAAACAAAATATTCCATTATTTCTACAGAAATTAAGAAAAAAACAAATAAACCATGTTATTTCATTAACATGCTGAAAAGGCTTTGACCCGCTAACAAAAGCTATGTGAAAACAACAGCAGCCAAGCAACTGGGACATCTCTGTGTTGTGGTGACATTTCAGGCGCTGCAGAACAATAATTGCCTGGTAGGATTCCTTGCACTGTTACTGAAGCCATCAAATTAGTTTTTAACAGGACTCTGAGTAGTGCAGAAGACCAAACTAAAAGAACATAAAAAGGTAAAGCCAAGAGTGCTTTTTCAAGAGGCATCTGGACTTTCTTGCTTTTTCTTTGAAGACGTTTCGCTTCTGATCCAAGAAGCCTCTTCCCAGTGGATTTTATTTCACTAATCATTGCCTACTGGAGGGGGCGCTGCTCATCTGTTCCAACGGCCACTGAACCAATGCTGTCCACACACAATTTCCATGGTCATGTGGCCAGCATGACATCATAGGGTGCTGCTGTTACCTTCCCACCCAAATGGTACCTATTTATCTATTCGCCTTTACATGCTTTCGAACTGCTAGGTTGCAGCACTCCCTATGGTCCTGCGATTAAAATTTAGACGCTTGGCAACTGTCATGTATTTATGACGGCTGCAGTGTCCCCGGAGTCACGTGATCACCAGTTCTAACCTTCCAGCTGGCTTCAGACAAGCAACATCATTGAGGCAAACCAAATTTGTGAACAACCACATGATTCATTTAACAATTGCGGTGATTTACTTAACAACTGTGCCAAAAAGGTCATAAAATGGAGCACTTAACAACTGCCTTGCTTAGCAAGGGAAATTTTGGGTTGAACTGTGGTCATACGTCAAGGACGAACTGTATAGGCTGTCCAAGCAAGGACACCTCCCGTTTGTTACCATCTGCTTTGGAAAGAAGTGGCTCTTAAAATGCAGACACCACCACAAAACTGAACAGAAAGTGCAAGGCCATGAATTGGACAGGGAAACTGGGGCGGCTGGGAGACTTACCATTCAAGTCAGAATTTTCAAATCTGATCCATACAATTTTCTCTTTTTCTTCTGTTGGAGCTGTACTACTATAAGCCTGTAAGAAAAAAGATGAGGTTCAAAAAAAAAACCACCTTCAGTTGTACAGTTAACAGCTATTCTGTGGATATACTACAGAGCCAATTTGGTGTAGTGGTTAAGGTGCTGGCAGAAAAACCAGGAAACTGAGTTCTAGTCCTACCTTAGGCATGAAAGCTGGCTAGTTGACTTTGGGCCAATCACCAGGAGACTGGGAGTTCTAGTCCAGCCTTAGCCATGAAAGCCAGCTGGGTGACTTTGGACCCATCCCTCTCCCTCTCAGCTAAACCCACCTCAAAGGTTTGTCATTGTGGGGAAAATAGGAGGAGGAGGAAGGAGTATTAGGTATGTTTGCTGCCTTAAGTTGTTTATAAAATTAATACAGGCAGGATAAAAATCTAATAAATAAAAAATTGCATCCTGTCTCTAAAAATAGTACATAGTTTCACTCTCCTGGCTGCCTGTATGTAATGCTGTCATTTTCAAATCTTCATACTACATTACATAGCTAATACGGTAGTTTTCCGGTAGCTGCTGGAGGGCATAGTGTATTTTTCCTGAACTACAATACTACACAGTAGTGACACTACTTTTTTCATCTGTCGCCCCATTGTGATTACAACCGCATAAATACTCATAATCTGAATTTAATTTTTTTTAAAGTATACAACTCATTTGTATAACATGCTAAATGAAAATCAAACCAATCACATTATGACTTATTGTCATATACCCGTGATGATGAACAGGTGGCATGCAGAGCCATTTATGTGGGCACACCAGCCCTAGCCAAACTTACCTGCACTGTGCATGTGTGCGCCTCCCAGATGATTTTTGGCCCATTTGAGGCTGTTTTCACTCTCCTGGAGGCTCGAGGGAAGCCTCTGCAGCCTTGGGAGGGCGAAAAATGGGCCTTCTGGAAATAACAGAAGTGCCGAAATGGGCTCGTTTTCAGCCTCCCGAGGCTCCGGAGGCTTCCCTCGAGCCTCTGGAAGGGTGAAAACGGCCTCAAACGGGCCGAAAATCAGCTGGGAGGCATGCACATGCGCGGTGCAGGTAAAGGGGCAGGGCAGGAGTATTGCGCAAGCCTGCGCAGGGGGCGGGCACATTGCATTACGGCTGCCAGCATGCGCACGCTTTCGGCACACCACAACAAAAAGGTTCGCTATCACTGTCATATACAAACTATGACCCACTAATTAACATAATTTAACAAGCTCTTTCCTGCATTTCCAATTACACTTTCTTTGGGGGGACCCATTTCAAGAGGAGGAAAAACTTTAAAACAGAGTGTTGGTTGGGCACTGGGCCAGAGCAAAGCCCCATCTGTGGGATGCAGGCAGCACATGAAATCACACCCCCTCCGGTCCATGGGAAAACCTCTCTCCACGGAACCAGTCCCTGGTGCCCAAAAGGTTGGGGACCACTGGCTTAAAACACTGCAGCAAACCAGTTGATTGCACTTGCCTGTGGTACGACATCTTGCAGAAATGTAACAACGCTTTCCATGTAGGACTGCTCCCTGGAACAGAAAGATGGATATCCATTAAAAATCAGCCATGGTTATTATATATACATATATAAATGTCCATGGTGGAATTACAGGTTAAGGGGCATCATGCATGTCACAGAATGGGACTAAGAAATGAAGGGCATAAGATGAGAAAAAAGACATTGGAAGAAGTTAGGTTTAAAACTGCACTTTTTTCTGAATGCTACAGATCTTTTTTCCCAAAAGTCAATTTTCATACTGTCATTATCAGAATTCACTGGAATGTAACGTGAACAACTATGAAAAAAAATTGTAAAAGTATATGTACCCATAAACTGCTGGAAGAATAAAAACTGACTTCAAAAGTTAAGAGAGGGTTTCTAAGACAAATGACAAAATTTGAAATGCTCATATAGAATTAAGATTTGAGATTAATTATGACAGCTCATAGTTGTTACAGCTACTTTGAACTCTGGGTTGCATCAGACAAAGCAATTCCAAAGTAGATATCAAAATTACCCACCACCAAAAAACTTCATTCCATCATTCATACAGGTAGTGTGTTTAGCAAACTTCAGCAGCAGACATAAATTCAAGTTTCATCTACCATTTGGAATTCTAGATGAACAATATGAATTGCATCTATAAAGTCATGCTGGTGCAGTGGTTAGAATGCAGTATTGCAGGCTGACTCTGCCCACTGCCAGGAGTTTGATCCTGGCAGGCTCAAGGTTGACTGAGCCTTCCATCCTTCCAAGGTCGGTAAAATGAGGAGCCAGATTGTTGGGGGCAAGAGGCTGATTCTGATTCTTAGAGAGGGCTGTAAAAGCAATGTGAAGCGTAAAGTCTAAGTACTATTGCTAAAGCATAAGTCTAGGTACTATTGCTATTAACCACTTACGTAACGGCCTGTGGCCGGACTATCACTCCTCCAGTACATCGGCTTGGACGGCGGGGAGATTCAGCAGCCATTACTGTTCTAAATTCCTAGAAGCAAAAACAAGGTATTTTTTAATTATGTCTCACACTTCCTTCCTCTTCCTCACTAACTTCTTCAGTGTTCATCAACGGTACTATTTAAAAAAGAAACTGATATCACAAGGTATGTAAACAAGTCCGCAGGTCAGAAAAGGCAAGTTGTGATGGATCAATGATATACTGTATTTTACCTCCCACGGCTTAAAACCTTGAATTGAATCTCTAAAGCCCTGCCTGAAAAAAATGCCCAGATCACCTTCCTATGTAGATAGAAGCAACAGAAAAATTAACTCAGTCCTAATTCAGTGGTTACTTCATTCAATCACATTAAACTAAAATCAAACAAGGAAAGCTCATAAAACATAGTTTGGTGTGATATTGAAAATTATCATTAATATCAGTGGGGCTTAAGTTAACTGCTGCCTAGAATAGCCCCACAGTGAGATAGGTGCCAAATAAATTTAACAAATAATAACAGAATAACAGAACTACCGAGTTGGAAGGGACCTTGTAAGTCAGGGGTGTCAAACTCGTGGCCCATGGTCTGGGTGCGTCACGCGCTTGCCACGCTCACCCCCACTTTAGCAAAGGGGGGCAGTTGTGATACATCATGTGATAACGTGATGACGTGAGTTTGACACCCTTGTTGTAGGTCATCAAGTCCAACCCCTTCTCAAGCAGGAGACACTACCCCAGGTGTGTCAAACTTGTGGCCTGTGGGCTGGATATGTCACATGCTGGCCACACCTACCCCCATTTTAGCAAAGGGGGGGAAAGTCACAATATGTCATGTGACTGATAACACTATTTTGACACCCCTGCCCTACACCATCTCTGATAGATGGCAGTCCAGTCTCTTCTTGAAAGCCTCCAGGGATGAAGCTCGCACAACTTCTGAGGGCAACTTCTGTTCCATTGGTTGGTTGTTCTCACTGTCAGGAAATTTCTCCTTATATCTAGGTTGAATCTTGCTTAGTAATAGAAATAAACCACCCCCACATGCTATGTAGGGATCCACAGGTCATAACCAGCATCTTTAATTGAATCTGGACAACCAGTACAGCCCACAGGGTAGAGTTGTAACATACCCTGGTCAAGGAACACATATATAACACCAAGATATTTTGTATCAGTGGCAACTTATAGGTGCTCTTCAAGAGCAGCCCTTTGTAGTGCTTCCAGTAATCCATTAGGGATGTGACTAAGGTGTGTGTGACTGAGAGTAGAGTCCCCTATTCCAGGAACAAGTGCAACTGGTGCACAACACGAAATTGCACAACTGGAACCTGCCACGGAGGAAGGAAGAGAACCAGCACAATACTGATGCCCTTCTTCAAACTCTGGAGTAGTCAATCCAGAAGGACACCATGGTCAATCGAGCAAGGATGGACTACCCAAATCCCATTCCTGCCAAAGGTGATCCAAAGGACAACCAGTCACTGTGTTTTTTAAAATATGGTTTACAGCTTAGATTTGCTACTTAGCAGAAACCCTATATTCATTTTTTTGAATGTAAAAATGTCTCTATTGTTGTTGCCCAAAAAAGAACATTTGGGGCCAGTGTAATAAGTAGCAAATACCGTATATCAATAAGACCCAGAATGGTTTATATAAGATGTATTCTACATTGGCTCAGCTATTCCTTCCTCCTTGCCCTTCTTAAACATATATGCCTTCCAAGAGAAGCAATATAATTGTTTCCTAAGATCAAAAGTTATTCTTTTATTTTCAGTCTTCTAAGAACTGTCATTTATTTCAAACAAGCCCATGAATGAGTTCAAAAGAATCCTTCAGGCGCATAGACATACATGACCAGCTGGGGGCCACAGTATGTTTTGATAACCCAAAAATCTGAAGCTGGCAGAACTGTGTCAATCATAACCTCAAATGTGTACAAGTATTCCTTGACATAAGATTTCAACTGAGCCCAACATTTCTGTTGCAAAATGAAACAGTTAAGTGAGTTTTGCCCCATTTTATGAGCTTTCCTGCCACAGTTCTTAAATGAATCACTGCAATTGTTAAATTAGTTAATGGTATTAAGTGAATCTGGCTTCCCCACTGACTTTGCTTGTTAGAAGGTCGCAAAAGGTGATTCTCCTTATTTCTAGGTTGAATCTTGCTTAGCAATGGAAGTAACCTACCCCCATGCTACAAGTGTCATAAATATGAGTCAGTTGCCAAGTGTCTGAATTTTGATCGTGTACCATGGGAAAGCTACAATGGTCGTAAGTGTGAAAATGGACACAAGTCACTTTTTTCAGTGCCATTGTAATTGTGAATGGTCACTAAACAAACTGTTGTAAGTCGAGGACTACCTGTACATATACACATGGTTGTCCCCTCCTTTCTACCTCAGCTCCTGCTGTTTTATCTCAAACTCCAAGGCTTTTTTGTTGTTGTTTTTTGAAGAACCTCTATTTTCAGACACTTCTAGTGTCTCTATTGTCCCTATCCCAAGAGCGGTAGTATATCTCTCTGACTCCCCACCCTATCAAGTGCTCTTGTAGATGTTCCCTAAACTATCTTATATTCTTGCTCTTTCACTATCATTGGCTTTTAAATTAATAAGTAACCTCATTGACATTATTAGGGCTTTCCACACCCTACAATTAACATACGCTACAAAATCTGAGACAGAAGATCTTTCAATCCCATTCTTTCCTAATACTATAACACAGAAGTCCCCAACCTTCAGGGCCCGGACCAGCACCAGGCCACAAAATGCCAGAATGCCAGCACCAGGCAGCGCAAACAAGCAAAGGCCCATCCATGGGATACAGGCAAACAACGCCCCCACCAGTCTGCCAAAAAACCTCTCTCCACAGAACCGGTCCCTGATGCCCAAAAGATTGGGTGCCGCTACTATAGCAGGATAACTAACAAATCATCTTTTGGATTGACCAACAAAACAAAGGCAAAGGGTATCAGCTTCTTATTCTTCTGGCCTGGTATAAATAAAAAATGCAGACACTCAAGTAGTAATTAAAAAGCAGTTAAGAGTGCAGCGTGCCAAACCATACTATTGGTTATCAATGGGCAACATCCACCAATGGCTGTGTTCACACAGCACACTGACCCACAAATTAATCATGTGGTTAGTGTATAGTTAACAAGCAACTCCAGAAAATTGAGTCAGTTATCCATGGCCAAGTATGTCAACATAGGAACTGTTTGCTCAGTCATGGCTTATGAAATAAATCAGCCAAAGTCACACGACATCAATCAGGCTGCTTGGCAGCATATACCATTCAAATACATTTGGTGCCTCATGGGTATTGCACTAATGGGGAAAAGGATGGCATTGAGAATGAATAGTTATTGTGTTATTACAATTGGATTAAAGTAAATCAAAATAGTGGCCTTTTAGAGTTTGCAGGACACAGTGGTTTGGTTTGCATGAGACCAGTAGTTTGGTTTCCATGACAGTAGTTTGGTTTGCATGAATCTCAAACTAGTCAACCGGCTTTTACTCAATGTGTCACAGCTTAGTTTACAGTTCAATGTATTTTGCAAACTTCAAAATTGGTACATTTGAATATACCTTCATTAAATTATCCATGGTTAGGAAAGTTGTGCAAATACACTCTATATTCTATGTCATACTTCTGTTTAAGTTATCACATTTGAATACTCAGTAATGTTATTTGCGATACTATCAAGTGATGTGCAGATATCATTGCACTCAAGCTAAACATAAATAATATGTTCAAGTATTCTCCTCACTCACTCCTTATTCAAACACATATATTACATATAATAACCCTTTCAATTAATTCCTGCCTTTATCCTACACGAAAACCAATCCCTTGTCTCATACATTAACCCAAAGCATAATACAAATGGAAAATAATATTTGTAGCTCGGGGTTGAACTGTAGGGTTTTTATTTGCTCTCTGAGCTGGGTTATTTTCCTGAAGATATTTTATTACCCAACTAGGTAACATCAGCAGTCCTAAAAGAGAATGGGATTTGCTCTCATTATCTTATAACACTGATGATATTACCTAGTAATAATGATGTTATCTAGTAATGAAAGATTACTGCAAGAAAAAAGCTCAGAGATCATCAAGAACCCCACAACCATAGAACTACCTGTTTGATTCTGATATACAGTACACTTAAAATATGCTAGCTACAGCATGATTATCAATCACCCATAGCTGGCTGATTTTACAATATTATGCTAAACGGTAAATAAATTAATCTCTCAGTCCCTTGTTGTCAACTATATGTGTATTTTCTAATCAGACTCCTCTAACAACTCTAGGTAAATTCTATATACAGGTAGTCCTTGACTTAGAATCAATCATACAGTGACCAAAACAGCACTGAAAAAAGTGACTTATGAAAGTTTTTCACACTTACAACATCCCCATAGTCACGTGATTAAAATTCAGAAGTTTGGCAACTGGCTCATATTTATGACAGTTGCAGTCTTTCTGAGTCATGTGATATTTTTTGCAATCTTTTGACAGCTAAAGTCAATGGGGAAGCCAGATTCATTTAACAACCGTATGACTAACTTAACAACTGTGGCAAAAAAGATTGTAAAGCCAGATTCACTTAACTACCGTGTTACTCACAAAACAAATGTCTTGCTTCGCCACAGAAAATTTTGGCTCAATTGTAGTCGTAAGTCAAGCGCTACATGTACACACACATACACAAAAATAATAAAAATACCGCAGCATGAAGAAAAACAAAGATTTTTTCCCCCTAAACTGGAAAGAAAAAAGTGCACTACCCCCCCCCCCCCCCCCCTCCCCCTCTCCCGCTTTGCCCTGTGATATTTTAATAAATTATAAAAAATATAACCAAATAAGAGTTGGAATCAGGCTTGTCAGATGCTACAACTTTTCTATCCTGCTCTACGGAGTGGAGAGTTCGTCTCTGACAGAAAGCCATTTGAAGGGACTAGAAGCATTTGAAATGCGGATTCACAGGCGGCTATTACGTATAAGCTGGGTTGACAAAATCAGAAATGAAGAGGTGATAAGCCACCTGGGAAAGCCAAGAAAAATAATCAAAACCATAAAAAAGCAAAAATTAGAATATTTCAGACATGTGATGCGACACCTGGAAAAATATGCCATACTTCACTTAATCCTCCAGGGAAAGATTAAAGGCATATGAGGTCAAGGCAGAAAAACCTCATGGCTTCAACATCTAAGGGATTGGTTTGGACACAACTCAGCAGCACTTTTTCGTGCAGCTGTTGATCAAAATAGGATTGTCAGCATGATCACCAATATCCGAAGAAGAAGAAGAAGAAGAAGAAGAAGAAGAAGAAGAAGAAGAAGAAGAAGAAGAAGAGGAGGAGGAGGAGGAGGAGGAGGAGGAGGAGGAGGAGGAGGAGGAGGAGGAGGAGACCTCGGAGGTCTTCTAGTCCAACCCCCTGCTCAAGCAGAAGATTATCAATTATTGTCAATTATTTTTTTTAAAAAATATTGGGGGCTATATACTGATTCTGTAAATCGCTTAAAGCAGTATATAAGTCTGATATTGCTATTAATTTACATTTATTTATTTTAACAACAGGTGGAAATATTTAATTCCATTCTTAGAACTGTACAAGATAAGATACAATACAGAACTTTTCAAACACACTTCCTGCCAAATTTGTTAAATATTCATTCGCCTGAATGTTCCCAGAATTATTCCAGGTACCCCCAGAAAGTACATTTATTTAAATCAGATTTCCAGAATAAAAGCCTCACTATATAGAATTTCCTTGGGGGGGGTGGGGGTGTTTCTTTTTAATTGCTATGAGGGGGGACAATGAAAAGTTGCCTCAGCTCAACCCACCCTCGCTGTTGAAAAAAAACGGTTTGAAATGACCCTGAAGACCCTGAAGGCCCGGGCCCCATATCTGGCAGCCCCACAGGCTCAGCACGACGGGCTTCGGAGTCAGTCGCCGCCTCTGAGGCTGGCCTACCTCGCAGGGCTGTCGTGAGGGAGGAAAGGGGGCGTGGGAGAAGGAAATATCGGGGGGGGGCTTTGATATCCCCCCTATTGACAGTTGAAGAGAGGGTGCCTGAAGCGGCACGTGCCCCCCAACTCCCCCCCACACACACACACACATCAAATTGGCTCCCTCACACACGCGCGCGACCCTCCCCTCACCTTTCCTGTCAGCCTGGCTTCCCCCTCCCCCTCCCTGACAAGCCACACCCACCGCTCGCGCTTCCCGTAATTCCCCCCCCCCCCGGTCTACCTGCTGCCGTTGAACAAGCCTCGCTTTCTCCCCCTCCCTTGGCAATATTTGGGACCCTCTCACCGGCCGCCGCGCTGACAGCCAATGGTCGGCCAGGGGAGGCCGGCGCTCTACGGCTTTCGGATCCAATCAGCAGGCAGCAGGGCGGGTCGGCAAACCCTTGCCGGGGGTGGTTGTCCCTCTCGCTCTCCACCCGACGTTTCCCTTCTTGCCCAATCGCCGCAACTAAGCTAGGTTGAGAAAGCTGGACGTTTGGGATGCTTTCGACGCTCCCACCTGGAGAAGGGGTGGGGGGTTGTTTACATCCGGGGCTCAAAGGAGGAGGAGAAGAAGGAGAAGGACGTGTAATGTAGCCGGTGCGGAGAGCGCCAATGAGATTCGGGGTTGTCGGATATGCGTAAGCCACACCCACCAGTGACGAACGAGAAGCTTGTTTACTGCTTTCCATTCGGGAAGGGGCAAACTGAGTACGAGGCGTGTGACGTCAGGCGGCGGCTGACGCAATGACGTAACAGTAAAGCGCTTTCAGGACATGTAGAGATAGAAAAGTATAGAGGGACAAATCAATGTCTGACAATGTAGCCTTTTTTAAAACCAGGATATAGACTTATGAAAAGGTCTTGATTTTCATAAAATTAAGGGCTCTTAATTAATCAAATTAAGGGCTGTTAATTCACAAAATACCCATTTGGTCTAGCAATTAAGATGCTGAATTAAAGAACCAGTTAGGTCTAATTACAAAGGTGGGCAATTATGGCCACTTTTCAACTTGTGGACTTCAACTCTCAGAATTCCTGTCCAAGCATGAGAGACAGTAAAGTAAAAGGAAGAATATTGAATTCTGCAATATTTTTGCACCTGTACAGATAGTCCTTAACTCACAACCACAACTGAGCCCAACATTTCAAAACAGTTAAGTGAGTTTCGTCCCATCTTACAACCTTTTTTGCTGCAGTTATTAAGTGAATGACTACATTTGTTATCATTCTGATAGAAAGGAAATGGATGCTATGTGGCCTATTGTAAAGTGTGAATCTTTGTCAAAAAGGAAACAAAAGGCTAGTATACACAGGCAGTCCTCGACTTACAACGGTTCATTTGGTGACCGAAGTTATGGCACTGAAAAAAAGTGATTTATGACTGTTTTTCACACTTATGACCGTTGCAGCATCCCCACAACCACATGATTTACATTCGGAGGCTTGACAATTGACTCACATTTATCATGGTTACAATGTCCCAGGGTCATCTTTTGTGACATTCTGACAAGCGAAGTTAACAGGGAAGCCAGATTCACTTAACAATCTAACTAATTTGACAAATTGCAGTGATTCACTTAACAAATGTGGCAAGAAAAGACATAAAATGGGGCAAAACTCAACAATTTTTTTTTCATTTAGCAACATAAATTCTGGACTCAATTGTGGTCATGTATTGCTTGTCTGGTCTTTCTATGGATGTCAGATGACTGCATGAGAAGGACCACCAAATCGAGTTGGATGTATAGTACTCCTCAACTTACAAATAGTGACCAACTGAAGTTATAGTACTGAAAAAAGTGGTTCACAACCACTCTTAACAACTGTGGCAGCATCCCCAAGGTCAGGTAATCAAAATTCAGGTGCTTGGCAACAGGCACGTAATTACCACAGTTGCAACATCCCATAATCATCTGATCTCCAATTGCAACTTTCCCAGCCAGCTTCTCACAAGCAGTGGGGGGAAGTTGAACTTGCTTAATGATTTCATGACTCCTTTAAAAACTGTAGTGATTCGCATAGCAACCATGGCAAAATAAGCTCATCAAATCAGGTGCAGCTCTCTTAACATTCAGCTTGCTTTGCAATGGAAATTTTGGTTGAAATTATAATTAACTGGAGGACAACCCGTTGTGGAAATGAGCTTAAGAAGGATGGATGGGGATAAAACAAGATTGTCAACAAGGAGCACTTAGACTTATATACTGCTTCACAGTGCTTTACAGCCCTAAGCGGTTCACAGAGTCAGCATCTGGGTCCTCACTTTACCAACCTCAGAAGGATGGAAGGCAGAGTCAACCTTGAGCCGGTCAGGATCAAACTTCCTGGCAGTGAGCAGTGAGTTAGCCCTGCAGTACTACATTCTAACCACTGCACCACCACGTGCAGTCACATTCGTTGAGTAATCAATGAATGATGGTGGACTGAATTCAAATCTTGTCAATCAGGACAAAAGAAATCCGTTGAGGGGGTTTGATCACGGAGAATGAACACCGACGGTTCTTGATGGGTATTTTGTGTAAGCAATAGCAATAGCACATAGACTTACAGACCGCTTCACAGTGCTTTACAGCCCTAAGTGGTTTACAAAGTCAACATTTTTGCCCCCAACAATCTGGGTCCTCCTTTTACCAACCTCAGAAGGATGGAAGGCTGAGCCAATGAAGATGGCAGTGAAATACTGCATTCTATCCACTGCCTGGTTAGAATGGTTCCATACATTGTATGAAGCAGTGGATGGATACAGCAGAAGCAAAGGAAAAGCAAATTCTGGTGAATGAATTGGTGTGAACTATCTTATGTTCTTTTTCCATCTCTGACTAAGGGAGAACCTGAAGTTCCTAACCCAACAATTTTTGTCATGATACAAGAAGTATTGGGAGAGCACGAGGGAGAAAGACATGTAGATTAGATAGATGGATGGATGGATGGATATGTAGATGAGAGAGATGGAGACAGATAGATATGGAGACAGACATATATAAATGGATGGATGATGTATGGGGAGACAGATGAGAGAGAGAGACAGACAGACAGACAGAAAAGGAGTCAGATACGGTTTTTTTCTTTCTAGCTTTATTGTTGTATTGAAGGGTTTTCCTTTTTCCTTTTTTTATATATTACAGAAATAATTTCTTTCAAAAACAAGTTATGGGAAACCTGAGCTGCAGCTATGTTTAAAAATAGTTTTTAAAAACCAGAAAGCACCGGAGAGGTTTTTAGCAATTTTATTTTATTGTAGGTATACAATGACAACATATGCAAAGAAAAACTAAAAAAACTAACCCAATAACTTAAAAACTTTTGGTGGTCACTCTTACGTGCACCATCGATGGTTGGAATAGTAAAATATCTCATGCGTCCATAAAGGAATGTATCATAATTCCAAGTATATCAACCAAGAGAACTTCAAACAGCAGCCCCCAAGAATGGGGAGCCCAAGAATTGATGGAGAAAAACTTTTTGTTTAACTGAAATACTGGCCCTTCATCTTCAACAAATGAACAAACAATCAAAACCCAAATGCAAATACAGCCAGACCTAAAGTACTGCATAGTATTTTAATTAATTTAATTAAAACACAAGAACTCAGCATACAGCTGTTATAAAGGCTCAACATCTTTTTCAGCATAATTTCATTCTGAATAGAGAAATCTAAAAGTTAACAAAAGGAAGAAAATAGACCTACTATTATATTCTCTAATAGAGCACATTCCAGGCAAAACATATTAAGTACTACGAAAATACGTATCTTCCATTCTGTTTTTAATAATTTACTTTTATTAAAAAGTTGTGAGGTCGTCACAGGAAGGCTATACAAATTCGTTACTTTGTACTAAATTAAACTCCCCAACCATATTTTAAAAATAATAATAAAACAGCATCCCAACGCAAGTTTTATATTGTTCTGTTATTTTTACCTTTGTTGTAACAATAAATGCAAGTACCCAGGTAAGGAGACTACAAGCTTTTTGAAGGAATATAAATTTACGCATATATATTTTGTTTTACACCAACCTCTTTATCCTCCTAAGGATGTCTACAAAATTCACAGTTATCTTACAAGCGGGTAGAAGGTTGGGATAAAGCTGCCTGAATTCTCCCGCCTTCTTCTACATTAAAAAATAATGATTTTTTTTTCTCCTTAATAAAAGGGAGCAGAGAATAGAATTGCAGCTTCGAATTCTCTGCAAATCTCCAGATTGGGTTGGAATTCTGGATGAGATGGAGAAGATTCAGCAAACACACAGCGCTTTCCTAGTTTGGTGGAATAAAGGGCTCCCTAACTTTTTTTGTCCTCGTACGCTTCGGCGCATGGCCAGCCTATTGGTGATTTTATGCTGGGAGGCGGAAGAGAGGCTTTCGGGCTGCCCACCAACATTTCGAGTCAGGCCACGTCTCGGTTTCTTCACCACGGGCCCCGAGTTGGATTCTTCCAATGTCCTTTTGAAGCTGGCCACCGACGGAGTCCTCTCTGCTTCCTGTACTTTGGAGGCATCACTCGGGGAGATCCTGAAGGATTTGGGATCAGGACCCACATTCCTGGCATTGGAGGGAGACAGAGTCCCAGGCGGGTTTCGACTGAACGAGTCGTGTGCCCGCAATCCTAGCGCTTTGCCGCCCTTCTCGTCCGGCGGCACCGCCTCTCTCGAGCAAGCTGCTCCTAAACCATCATTGTCCTTCGTCAGCTCGCCGGCTTGCTCCGGAAATCTGCCCGACACGGTGGCACTGCTGCAGGAGAATAAAGGGAGGCCTTCCGAGGAACTCAGCCGTGGCCACAAGTCATCTTCTACAACCTGATGGGATTTAAAATAAAAAATGAAAATGAAAAACACAATTTTCAACATCAAAGGTTCCATTCTGTCTCATTAAAAAAAAAGGACCAGCGGGTGACATGATAGCAGGGTTCCAATTGTTCTGACCAGGGTTCTCCAAAAAGCACTAAACCGACTCTGTCCCGGCAAAACCCCTTTTATTAAACGAAGGGGAATTTCTTGCATTCACATTCAGCCAAAGGCCTGGCAAACAGTCTTTCAAGAGTGCAATTAGGAGCACAGACCTTATCTAGCCTGGAGTGCTGCCAAGTAAATATGTCCAAACACAGTGCTGACAAGGAAGGTCTCAGCACAGTGTCTCTGAAATGCACAGACAGGTCTTCACACAGCTGCAACGAACCAATTGTTTCCTGCAAAAGCCCCCCTCCCCTTTTGCTTCTCTTTTAATCCCTATGGGAGGGGCCATTCAGCATCCACCTGTGGCTTTACTCCCACGTCGACCCTGAGTTCATAATTGTTCTTTTCTTTTGGCAGCTCTGTGCATGTGCAGGCTCCAGCTGCCCCCTCGCCTCACTGCTGTCCGACTCCGAAGGCAGCTGATGACTGCCCGACTGCCCTGGCCCCCTCCCTGCCTCTGACACAGAGCCCTCATCCAAGACCTCCTCAGCCTCCAGGACTGGCCCATGTTCCTCCCCAACCTCCTCACTGTCCGACTCTGCTGCCAGCTCCGCTAGCCGCCGGCGGGCCACAACACCTATATCTAAGGGTC